AAATTATCAAAGATATGAGTTTTGAAAAAAGAAATCCTTAATATACTCTTGTGTCATTGAAAAAAACTAAAAATTCAATCAAAGGTGATGTAATATTGAATTAGAATAGCTATTGCCAAAAATAAGAAGTCTAGAAAGTCTTGAAACAAGACTAAAGATTAGAAAGGCATTGACAAGAGTAAAGAAGACTTCACTCTTATCTCCATATATATTCTTAATTAGGAGCTATATGGCAATGTCCTATGAGACCTCCAAAATATGTTGACTTTGCAAGATATGTATCTTAACTTACAAAGCAAGTTTTTTCTATATGCGCCTCATAATTAGTTTGTTCTATAAGTTATTAATACTTTGTCGTGTTGTAATATGACTATATGGTAAAAGATGATAATATGGATCTTATTATAGAAGATCCAAATTAAAAGAAAAAGTAGAAAAATATAGATAAAAGATAGGAAGGTAGTAAAACTTTTAGTAGTAATGCTGCCCTTTTAAAAAAAATAGCTTCTACTTACTTTGTAGGACCAAAAGTAAGGCAAAATAAGGTAGATTGGAAAAATAAATGATATAGACATCTTTAGAAGGAAGTCAAGAATAAATTCTAGTAAAAATTACTTAGAAAAACTAGATGTTGATACACGGAGAGGGCCGGTTATGAACAAGGGTCGAAATCAGACCCTAAGGCACAAAACTGAGTCTCAACGACGACTCCAAGGTTCTTTGGCAAATTGGAGAGTGGGATTTGATAGAAGATTGAATAGAATTTTTATAAGCATTGGTTTTAGGTGATTTGGATCTGTATTGACTTTGTAAGAGCTTTGTAAAGTCAAGGTTTGTTTTGGATGACTTGAGTTTTATGAAATAAAATAGGATTTACGTTTTGAATGATTTCAAGTTTTTTATAATAGATCTACAAGTGAAATTTTGTGGATTATTGGTTATAGTTGTGTTCAATATGTATTGTGAATTTGAGCTCGATCTAACAGTTGAATTGAGGGTTATTGAGGTCTAAGTGGGTCACGGTCTCAGAAAGTAGAATTTTATGCCTAGTGAAAGTTTTTAAGTTTTCTTGCAATTTACTTATTGAATTGGAGTAAAATTTATATGAGAGGATATAAGACTTGTTTTTCTATGTGTATGAGAATTTTGAGATCAATTGAATGGTGAAAAAGAGAGATATTGGCTCTAGGAGATTGGCATTAAGGTTGAAGAAGGAGGCCGACTAATACCCAAGCACATTTTTGAGGTTATCGTCTATTTGGTAATTTCGATCTTTTTCAAATTTTTTGTACTTGTTTTCAACTTAGTTTTTAAGAAGTGTGCAAAATTTAAGTTAAGATCAATGGTTCATTCATTAGTTATTGAGGTTTGAATTTGTTGTAGAAATTACTAGGGTTTAGAATTTGATTAAGGTTTCATTTAGGATTTGATTAGGATTTGATTTAGGGTTTAAAGTTTGGTTAGGATTTGGTTTAGGTTTTGATTTAAGATTTAAGATTTGATTAGGATTTGATTTAGGGTTTAGGGTTTGATTTAGAGTTTGATTTAGGATTTAGAATTTGGTTAGGATTTGATTTAGGATTAGGGTTTGGTTAAGATTTGATTTAGGGTTTAGGGTTTATTTTAGGATTTGGTTAAGATTTGGTTTAGGATTTTTTTAGAATTTGATTTAGGATTTAGGATTTGATTTAGGATTTAGGGTTTGGTTGGAATTTGATTTAGGATTTAGGATTTGATTTAGGATTTAGGGTTTGGTTGGGATTTGGTTTAGGATTTGGTTTAAGATTTGGTTGGAGTTTGATTTAGAGTTTTTTTGGATTTGATTTAGGATTTAGGATTTTATTAGGATTTTTTTAGGATTTAAGATTTAGTTAGTTTTGGCCTAAAGTTTGAATGAAGTCTAATAGGATTTTAACTAGGATTAAATTAAGATTGAATTGAGAGGTATTTGAGATATATTTGTGATCATTCTTATATTTTTTTAAGATTTCTTATTGTTTCTTTGAAATTTCTTTGAGGTTTCTTTGAATTCGATTAAAGCTTGCTTAGCATTATTATGATCTAATTAGAGTTTAGTTAGTATTCTATTATAGTTGGGATTTTGTTGTTGCAATTTCCATTCTACCTTCCACAGTTAGATGCCCGAAGCATTCTCAAGCAAGACTTCACGTATTACAACAACTTAGTTAATTTGTTGACAAAATTTCTAACCTAGCAATGAACTACAAATATATGTAAAATCAAAGTAGCATCTATGAAGCTTCTAAAAAGATTTTCTAGAAGATATTATAAAATTAATCTATTTTTATCTACTTTTGCCTATTTTTACTTAATCATATAGATATTTATTAAAGTATGTATGTATATATGTGACAAATTGGTAAGTTAAAATATTAGCCAATGTGAGGATAATATTTACTTTTTAATCTAAATCATGAGATGGCTTCAATTAAAAGTTGCTTATAATTGATAGTATTAAGTGGAAGGTAGAATAAAAAAAATAATAATATAAAATAAATGAAATAAATTTTTTCAATATAAAATAAATGAAATAAATTATGATGGTTTAAAGATAAAATATAAATAATAAAAAAATCAAATTAATAAGTTTTACTTTGAGGATAATTTTCATAAGAAATCAAGATTTTGAACCTCACCAAAGTTCATAAGTAGTGTATATGGGTGTCTTAGATTTATTATTGGTCATCCTATTTTTTGTTAGTAGAAGTAATATTTTTCTATTTCTGATTATATCATAGTATTTAAATATATCCAATTAGCTTAATAACCTTATATGACATTCAAATCTTAATCTATTTATTCAGAATGACTTCTAAGGTAGAAAAACTTATTTTTATTAACGACTTAAAATTACTCTAAAAATTCTTAAATAATTCTAAATAAATTCTAAATAAATTATAAAAATTCTTATAATATTTTTTTAATATTTTATTTAATTTAAAGTTTTATTTTTATATTTTAATAATTCTTTATAATAATAAAATTAATTTAAATCAACTAAAAATTATATTTTTTTATATAAAAAAACTAAAAAAATATGAGGTTCTTTTTCATGTTTTTTTTAATTACTAATTAATATATATAGATTTTTTTATAAGTAATACATGTAGATAGAAGGCCAATGTAGACATTGATTTTAATAACTAATCATTAATACTTTATAATAAGTAAAGATTCTAAACTAATCAAGATTATTGCCTTCTAGACTTATTAAGATTTTATTTTTATTATTTTTTATTGATAAGATTCTTATATCTTCTATATATATATATATATATATATATATATATATAAATCTAGTAAATATTTAAATAATAAAAAATACTCTCTAATTCTAATATTTTATAATTAAATAACTTAAAACTATATTTTTTATATTTCTACCAATTAAGATTCATTGGTAGGACTTACAAGTAAGAAGTTACCCATGTATTGGATATGTGTCAAAGGTCCTATAGAATGTTGCCATGTAACTTCTAATTAGATAGTATATATAAAGGTAAGAGTAAAGCCTTCTTCATTCTTGTGAACTCCTTTTTTGTTCTTATTCTTGTTTCAAGAATCTTTTATCTTCTTGTCTTTAGCAATAGTCATTCTAATTTTACTACTATAATATCTTTGAGTAAACATCTACTTTATTTGAATAATTCAACAATGTATTGATGTTTTGGTTGTTTGTGATTTATGTCCTTGATATGGAAATGGAACATCACTCTACAAATTTGAATCTATATTTGACAAATCAAACAAAATGTAGAGACGAGAGCTTGCCTACATCTTCTATCTTTTGTTTTATATGGTTAAGAAGGCTTATCTTTCTCTCTTGTTGAGCTGAACTTTTACGCCCTATTTTTTGTAGCCATGTTAAGAGCCTCCTTTTGGATCTAGAACCAAGGTTTAGGGTGCTATGCAGCTCAAAATGTGGTATAATTGCATATTTTTGTTGTTCCAAGGGCTGGTGGGTTGATTATCCAGAGCACCAGATAATGAAAATATACAATAATCCATTCCAAAATCTTTACCTCCATACTTGTGCTTGGCAAGCATGGAGGAGAATTTTGAATCTGCAGGTTGGCTGACCTCGTTGAGTTGGAGGTGTGAGGGAGAGGTTCGTGCAAAAGCCGCTAGAAGAGGGAGTTCCAATCCCTCTACAGGGTTGCCACAGAGTATACACCCAACTAGTGGTCAAGTCTACGGGGCTTGAGAACTGTCAGTGAGACTGTATGTTGTGAAAATAATTGTCAAGTCAGGTTCTGTCTCTTAGTCCCACAAGGAGCATCCCTGCTTGCTTCCCTTTGTGGTCCTTGTATCCAGTCCGCGACGTGGTGGGTTCCTCTGTAAGGCCCTTGCATTATTTGAGTCGAGGTCCGACTTGCTTCCGAGTACCACTCCCATGTACTCACCCCGAGTCGGTTATGGTAGAACGGTCAACATATTCTTAGCTCCTTCTGCCTTGGAATTGGTGTCCATTGACGCGTCTAGATCCGTGGAAGGCGGATTTGGTGTTGCATGGTCGATGTTGTGCAGATCAAGCCAAGTGTCTGATATATAATACGGCTCCGCCGCAGAGGTGGCATCTCAAAACTTGAAGTAAGCTAGAAGAAATTATCTCTTCAATCATGCCTCGTAACACATAATCAAAGGTTCCTTCAGATTGCTTAGCCCCCAGTTTCTATTTTATTTCTTTACTTTTAACTCATTTTTTGGCCTGAAATGGAGGCAAAGATTGTTTAGTGATGCATTTTCCACGCCAGGATGACTAACAGTCAAGCTGAAGTCCACAGAGTCGGCGATCAGTGAGTCAGCATTCAATTCCACACAACACCATGTAATTAAAATTTTCAACTGTGATGTGTGAGTTCGAAAGGTGTGATTTAAGACAGTTTGTCGCACTTGACTCCATGCAGTGTTTTTTCATGTGTGCTGGTACAAGCCCAGAAAGAATGAGCTCGCAGCTATATCGTGGATCCAGATAGAGGTACCCGAAATTCAACACAGATCGTCCTTGCAATTAGATAAGATTTTCGTTTCATTAATCCGATATGGATAGCCTCAGATTTCAAGAGACGCAGCTGTATTATTCGCACTTGGCTAGGGTGGTATCCTATTCCTCAATAGGGTTGCTGTAGTTCAACTCTATGGTCCTGATCTACGGTTTAGTTCTTAAGTTCGAACGCTATTCACCTTGTTGATCCCCACATCAGGTTTGCATGGAATTGATTGAGGTTTGAATGAGTCCAGGGGTGGTAAAGTATCTGGAGCTCTAGTGGTAAGTCTTCTCTGTGCATGTGGAGTGTTGAGTGGAACAGGGACATCCTGAGTTGATGCCCAGTCCATCAGGTTCGTGTGCTTCATCGGAGAAGACGCTATGGAACGATAAGCAGGTGTAGGTGTTCTCCCCGATGCAGTTGGAGAAGGTGATTCAGGTTGATTGGTGCTTCGGCGAGGTGATTTTAACTGTGGAGCGGCGAGATTAGGGTTTTCCCTGGTTTCACCTTTTCGACGAGGCAGTTTAGGGCTTATGTTGTTGTTGTTGTTGTTCTCTGAGGCTGTGGCTGCCTGCCCGGAGCGAGGAGTTGTAGGTGTCGAAAGCTTGGGTGACTCCCACAAGTATGTCATTTCGAGGACTTTCTTCAAGCCTTCGACTACGTCAACCATCTGCAGCCTTGCTTTGGGTTGTTTCTCAAGACACTGAATTCCAATAGTTGCAAATTTTATGGCGGCTTTCGTAGGGTACTGTAGTTCTAGACGGGGGTCCATTGCGAGGTGAAACTTTCGTGGGTCGTTGATGAAGGGTTTCACCCAATCTAACATTCTCTGCTCCATCTTAGGTCGATTGCTATCCAAAGCCCTCCGGCCCGTTAGCATTTCCATCAATACCACCCCGAAACTGAACACATCACTCTTGAACGTCAAATGGCCCGTCTGGATGTACTCCGGAGCTGCATATCCATACGTGCCCTTTAGCTGCAGCGATTCAACAGAGGGGGTCAATGACAATGCATGAGTTCTCGTAACCTTTTTCGCATGGTTTTATAAACATCGTGTTCTGGGAAAAGGGAATGTACTGTTTCCAAGTGAAGAGGTGTCATACCCCAGTGGTGACATGAGTCTTGCCTACGTCTGGCCCTTGTCTAGCAAGCCCAAAGTCGGAGAGTTTTGGATTGAGTTCCTCATCCAGCAGTACGTTTGCCGCCTTGAAATCTCGAAATATTACCTGCAATGCACACAAAGATGATTCCCAATCAGATTTCGGATGTGAAAAGAAAGTGACAAAGAGGGCATCAATGTTACATGTGGCGTTGGACTGCTTACTCCCTTCTCATTGTGCAAGTAGGCAAGTCCTCGTGCTGCCCCGAGGGCGATTTTCACCCTGGCTTGCCATGACAAAACTGGAGGAACGGTGCGGAAGATATGGTCATCGAGGCCCCTGTTTGGCATGTACTCGTACACGAGTAGCCGTTGAATCCCCCTCTCGTCCTCATCGGCGCAATACCCAATCAGCTTCACCAGGTAGGGATTATCCACAATTTCCAGAAAATGAACCTCCGTTATCCATTCACGGTGCCCCTGCAAGCTTGATTATAAGCATAGGATCGGACTGCTTGACTCATGACAACCAGGAGTGCGTAAAAGGCTTATGCCGAACTTAGACCATAAATAGTGTGAATCGAAACATGTAACAGCGAAGAATCTGCTGCAGAGCTGTGTAGACTCGCTGCACCAATTTCCCAATTACGGTGACCTAATGAATTCATCTGCAATGCTGTAGCAAGCGCCAATTTTCATAACGTCGACTCTTCCGGCTCCAAGCCCAAGTTTCCACAGATTTCCACAAATCATTTACGTGCATGGGATTGTGGCAAAAAGCAAAATTTGGGCTCCTTTGACAACGGTACTAGTTCGGATGTATTACCTGTGGTCCACCATTGTTGAGTTGCTTTACAGCAACCTCAATTTTCTCCTCAACGCCTTGCAATTTCGATTTCTGCTTGATGGTTCCCTTGTAGACTTGTCCGAAGCCTCCTTCGCCGATCCGATTGCTCAGAGAAAAATTTTTGGTCGCAAATTTCAGCTCTAAAAGAGTAAACGCTCGAAGCTCACGACGTTCGCTATTAACCAAGAAAGTTGAGTCCTTGCTTGTGGTCTCTCCGTAGCCAGGATGGGACATCGACCCAAGCTCAGGTCTTGCTGTTAGACCTGGCGTATTTCGCCTTGGAAATTCCTCGGGGTCAGACTTGGTACCCCGTCTCCGAGTGACTCTTACCTCGAGCTTCCGTCGTCTCTTGATATCTATTCCGAAGCAGCTCATGGTTTACAAACCTTTGCTTCGATTCATAAGGTTATTAGTTCGGTGATCGTCACACCCAAAATCTAAAAACCACCTTTCGCAAGAAGTTGTTGCTACCTAGTTCAGACACAATCCCTTCGAAGTGCCGATAGAGCGCAGTTTGTTTAATTTCAGCGCTTCCGAAATTGGTACTATCAAAGGGAAGAGAATCAAAAGAATAACTGACATACGAATTCCACTTCCATGCAAGGGGGAAGATGATCCTCGCGCCGCCTGGATAACCTCTCGCACCCTAGAAACCTAAGTGACCTGTGACGTTACAATTGAAATCCTCCGCCAATTGATACGATTACAACGTAATGGAGGTTGGAGAGTACACAGTGATTTTTGCATGTATTGAAGCGTGATCTAATCTAACCCGATCGGTCAACGATTGTATGGACTTGACCAATTACGATGATCAAGAATGGTGGCCATGAAATGTGAGCCAATTGTAAACGTCACTCAGCCAGCAAACGGAACCTCCATAAACTTTAGAGAAACCCGTCGTCCTACTTTCAGTGCGTTTAAACGAGAAGTATTTCTAGATCATGAACAGCGAAGTGAACAGTACATTAAAAGAAGATCTTGCCGGGCCTTCAGGAAAAGAGTGACCTACTTTGTGAGTTTGACGTCAACAGCGTGTCAAACTCAGGTTTAACCAAAATCGAACTCCTGTGCGCCGACATCACCGATCCCCAGCGCGAGGCCACTAAGAAACCATGTGCTTAGAAAATCAGGGACACCTCTGATCTCGAGAACAGACAAACCTGCAGATTAGTGGACAAAATTTAAAACCCGGAGCTGAGAGCTGTATGAAGATCTTTAACCTTCCCTCAGCTCATCGATCGCTCAAGCATTTCGGCTAATCAACACTGAGTTTAATAACTACCCACAATGAAACCTTCAAAGTTGAACGCGTTACCGGAAATCACCGAGAGAGTTACAATCAAATTAAGAGCTTCAAGTCAGTCAATTTTCCTTCGACAACCCTTGTCCAGAGAAAACGCAGCTAAATCAGGAAGAAAAGAGCCAATAGAGAACTTTGGCTTCACAGAACCATCTCGAGCCTTACAGACACAGATGACTGCACGACGAGGCATAAGCTGACATCTGGAGTCGGATTCCAGGCACAGAAGAATGAGTGCCAGGGAAAGTTGCTTTTTGTGTTTGTCCAGGCCATTTCGCCACAGGAGGCGGTTCAAGAGAAGTTCTATTTGAACCTAATTACTCTGGGGAGATGATCAACATCTCCTGCGTTACACGGAAAATGGAGGTGGAACAGTCAAACCTACAAAGTCCAGCAGCGTTTGTTGAGAACCATGTTCCGCCGTTGAACAGTATGGTCAAGCTATTGTCGCTTAAGCATTGGCCCTACCTTGAAACCTTTGCATTGTGACGTGGTTCATGTCTCTATATTATTCTTGTGTGACAAAATAGTCGCTAGGACTCCTGGCGTACCTACTTGTCTCCAGTTGAAAAGTGACGTCCCTCTCGACCTCAATAAATCTGTCGTCTACTCTCATGACCCTCTCAACAACGCGAAATTACCTTCGTCTTTTTTCGAATTCGAGTAAGACTGCGTTAAGTTACATTGTACTGTGTAAATAATATTTCCTTCCTCCCATTCAACCCACGCCTTCATCACATCGTGTGGCGTCTGCGGAAAATTAGCAAAACGAATGATGAGATAACTGCAATTGTCAAATCTGCCTGCATGTAATGAACCCGCGACGACTGAGTTTCCTTATCTGCTCTTCTTCTGATGCAAGCAACTGACAATCGATCCCGACACAATTAGCCGAATCTGCTAATGCACGTTCACGACTTCATTGATGCTCTTCGTGAGCACAATTTTGACAACACGGTGAAAACATGGTACCGCAGTGGTGAGACTTTGAAACTCATGCAGGCTCAAGAGCACTCACGCCGGCAACGAGTAACTGAACTTATTGGTTGGTGATGTTTCGCGCTCACTGCTGTGGCTGATCACTTATTGTACCAAAAAAACACTTTCCATCTTCTTCAATACATCATCTGCTCATTACTCTCAAATTAAAACGGCCTACCGTCCTGCCTTCCTTCCTGACCCAGCTACAGTCTGACAACACCCTGCTCGCGATGCTTCAGAGCACAAACGGGTCCACGATGTATCATTTCCTTCGCTGCGGTTTATGATGGTGTCGGTGGGTAGCTTTCATGATTCTGGCTTCCTTTTCAGGTTACTTGGGTACACATGACACAGCGTGACGTGCTCAATATGCTGTTGAGCGTTGGAGTCAGATTCTAGAAGGGTGGGAATGTGTCTCTCAATCTACAAATGCCGACCACGACACTGTTCGCCGAGGATCCCGCGGAGAAGGAATGCTTTTTCGCGGCATTCTATTCTTTATTCCTGCGGAGACCGCGATCGCCGCGTCGAAAGGGGAAAGCCAACTGTCTGCTTGTGCACTTGCCTCGACAACAGTTGGGAATTGTTTCTCCTTCGAGATGGTTTGCGTCACAATTCGTCAACTCCATCCCGGTTTGAAAAGCTGGCTCTAGATTAGATTCGCGTGTGAGGAATCATAATCGAAACCTCTCTCCACATCCCTCATCCCAGTGCGGCGGATTTGAATTTATTATTATTATTATTATTATTATTTTCTTCTTGACACAGCCGGGTTATATCTGATGCATTGATTAGTGAGGGGTAAGGACTTGGCCTTTAAAGGAAGGACCTGAGAAGCAGGTGACTCGGCTGTGAGGGAAGCTCAAATTCTAGGAATCAAATCATAAGTTATGGTATGTTAGTTGTTGAACTAGTATGAATTATTATTTTGTTGTGGAAAAACCAAAGATTCCACACAAATTTTTTTTAACGTGTAAAGTCTAACAATTTCTGAGCTATCTATGCTCTATCCCAACTACAGAGCAAGGTTTCACTCTTGTTAGTTTGTGTATTTAGTTTGTCCTAAATGAGTTTTTATAACAAATGGCCATAATTCAAAAGACTTGATCAAATCTCAACATATACTTGCTTATTATACCATACTTTGTTGTTAAAAGAGAATTCATTATGTTGTCTTTCTAGAGATAGAAGAAAATATTATAGATGCTATATTTAACAAAAGTGAAAATAGATTTACAACTATTGCAAATCTTTATGAGATTATCAATGCTAATTATTTCACATATTATCAAAGTCAATCATAGAAGTACTATTTCTATACCTATAAAAGAAATTAATAATAAAATTTAAATTTTGTATTAAAAAGTTTTGTTGTTGAGAGAAGCAAATAGATCAACATTACAATTGAATCTAAAAGTATTTTATTATTAATATGAAGGAGGTAAGAATAAATTTTCTAAAAACATTTAATAGAATATAATCAAAATTTTAAGGATTTTTACAATAATTCAAGCTTTATTTATGATTGCATCCTCCTCAATATCTTAATGGATTTATTCAAGTTGGATTCATGAATGTATTTTTTTCTTGAAGTACTTTCTTTTTATTTATAATTTTGATGGAAAATGAAGCAAAATTTCTTTGTGATCTTAATTCATTCTTGAAATTATTTATAGCTATATTTGGAGAAAATAATCAAGAAAAAATAGTAGCAATCAAACTCCTATTTTTATAATGAGATTTATATTTAGCCACTATATATGATGTTAAAATTGAATGATAAAGGCTTTTTTATTTTAATCAATGTCAAAAGTAAGGTTTTGGAATTTATCATAAATTACAAGATAATATAAAAGATATATTATTGATAATATTAAAAATCGATTTATTAAAATAATTTATTATTCAAACAAATACATGTAATAATCAATTTTTTAAAAGATGTCAAAAACAAAGATTTGATTGGAGATGTACAAAAGAAGTCATAGCCATAATTCTCAAATTTTTAAAATTTTAATTAATGAAGGCAAAACCAATACAAAATTATACCATATGCTTTTAATCTCTCAATGAGTAAAAAAAGACTTAATATTATTGAATAAGATTATCCTTATATTATAGAAAATCTAAAATTACTACTCAACATTATTCAAAGAAGCAATATAATTATAAAATAAGCATGATTGTCAAAAAAGACAATATATTAAAAAATAAGTTTTTTTAGTTATAGTATGAACCGTGCACCTAAAATCTTATACAATATCTAGTCAATATTATATTCTTTTCTTAGATCCCTCTCCTTGATTTATAATAGATATTTATTTAGAACTACAAAATAACAAAATTCTTATCTTAGATTCAAAAGCGTAAATTCCTTTTATTGACAAAGACTTTGTTAAAAATCAAGAAATTCTATTAATCAAAAAAATAAAATTTGTCCATATAGAAGTCGTAAATGGTCATTTGTATTTTATTAAAGATATCATCTATCAAATTATTTCTTTAAATATAAAAACTAATGGATATTAAAGCTCAATAATATTTAATATGATTAGATCTTTATCCAATTCAATTATTTTAGGATTATTGTGGCTAGATTAGTATAATTGTTGAATAAATTAAATTTCTTGCAATCTTAATTTTTTCTATAGCCTAAGACCTTTGAAATAAGTGCTAAATCCAATATAGTTCTATTTTCATTGATTAAAAATAGGTTGTGGATTAATTAAAATAATGTTAAGTTGGAAGCAATAAATAAAATTTATTGTACTTGAAATAGGTTTATAAGAACTATCAATAAGTGAAAAATTTTAATTAGTTGAAGTGGAATAATAGTATAATTGGTACCACGTATCATGCTTTTGTAAAAGTTGGATTCTTAGTTTTATAACCTACCACTGCTCAAAATAAATTAAATAGGCCTATATATCAAAAATAGATGAATGAACATGTAAAAAAATAAAAATGAAAATAAATATGTTAAAAAAATCTTTACCTAAAATATTTATATAAATTTTATTTTTAATCCAAATTGTATTGAATATCCCATATTGTACTAAAAGCTGTGACTTATCTAGTTTTTAACTAAGACACAAGAAGTACCTTTCACTTGACTTTTGATACTTTTTGATAGCAACAAATAATATCCTTTTTGCTTTCTTCCTTTCATCTTATTTTTATAATATGATATTAGAGCTGGATGAACATTAGTTTGAAAAAATAGAATCATGGATGAATATTAGTTTAAATGAATAGTATCAAAAATGAATATTAATATGGATGAATAATATTATGGATGAAAATTATTTTGGATGAATAGTATTATGGAAAAATATCAATCTGGATAAAACTAACTATTTTTTGTAGATTTTTTATTTTTTTGAATGATCTATCTACCAAAGCTCTATCATTGCTAGATTGCTATCAAAGCCGAGGAGTTGCTAAAGCCCTATTGGAACTGCTAAAGCTGAAATTAAAATTCTATTGATTTTGGATTTTACTTATTTTAATCCCATTTGTTGCTAGTGGTGAAAACAAGACTTTTTTGCTCCAATATAGCTTGGTACTTCTACTTTCTAAATATTATATTTTATAGATTATTTGTTAATTATTTTCTTATAATTATTTGTTGGAATTGTATTAATTGTATTTAATAATTGCATCTTCAATGGATCATTATATTGATTAATTAGATGAGAAAACTATGGCATATAGGCATTTTTTATAAAAACACTTGATGCACATTTGTAAGCTCTATATGTATGTAGACAAGACATTAAAATGTCCTATGGATGTTGATAAAAAATTAAAATAGGAATCAAGTGAAGAAAAAGTACAAGCATTGATTGCATTGAATATTAAGCCTTTGCAATTAATTCATATATGAAAACATAATTTTACAAAAGAAATATAAGACGCATTGGCTAAAATCCACAAGTCCTTAAGAATTATTATTGAGATATTTTTAATGAAGAAATTATATAATCTTTGATATGTAGATAGAGAATCTATAGAGATTTTCTTTGGAGAGATTTTTTATAATAAGAATCAATATATTGAAGCCAATGGTGAAATAAAAAAATAAAGTATAATATTTTAGCTCAAAAGACATCATTTAATTCTAAAACAATGATTGTATTATTTTTTTAATTACAACATTATATATGCATTGATAGTATAGAAGATATATACATTCAAGGAGACAACAATAACCTTTTCAATTTTGATGAAAATACAACTATTCAATTCCAAGGCTATAATCGTGGCATTAATAAATCATGAGGCTCAAGTGAGATGCATCTCACAATTTTAG